TATAGGTACAAGTTTAACTAATAAAAAAATTTGATCCAAATATTCTTGAGGATAAAAGGTTGAAGTTTATATATATACTTTTAGTCATACAAAAAAAAAAAAAAAAAAAAAAAAACAAACAAACAAACAAACAAACTTCAGTCTAATAGAAATAAAATACTTGTAACTAAATTAGTTTGGTACATTTAATACACCTAAAGTTGAAACTAAATTAATTTTGTATATCTAATATACGTAGAGTTAAAATTAAATGAGTTTGGTACATTTAAGTAGTTGAGTCCTAAAGTCATGAGAAGTCTATATATAAAAATATATATATATATGAATTAAATTATAATTTAAAAACTTGTATACGTAAAGACACTAACCTTTTTTTTATCCAACACTTTGTTACTAAATACACAGATTTATATATATATATCACTCTCAATCATTATTAATTGTGGAAGGAAAAAAAAAATTAAAAAAAAATTAATTTTGATATAAAACTACATACAATTAAATTAGTATTTATATGATCTTATAAGTAATTTACAAAAGAATGAAACTCACTTGTTATAGAAGTTTGTGGAGAAAGTGAGGAGGGTGACATGGGCATGATAGAAAACTAAGATGTGAAGGCACCACTTTCACGGGAAAGTAAAATTTCCCTATGTTTTATGTCAGAAAAATTTTGAGAAAAATTAAGCAATTGTAAGAAAATTACTTTCCTGAAAATTTTCTCTTTCACACTAACCAAACTCCTAAAAAAGTTAAATATTTTCCTTTTCTTTTCCTTTCTATCTGCTTCATGCTAACCAAACAAATCCTAAAGGAAATCAAAGAGATTTGAAGAGTAAAAAAGAAAAGAAAAAAAAAATAAGAGATAATTTTATAAATTAAAAATTTTAAGATATTATATAGAATATTTCATGTACATATGTAAAAAGTAGTTGGCGGGCAAGGCAGGGGGCATTAGCACCCTGGCCACACAAAAAATAATTTCTCCGAATCTCAGATTTAAATTTTCAAAAAAAGTAAATACATCTAAGACTCACTTTCCCTAAATGTGTATACATTCCGTAGGGGGTGGATCCCACATATCCATGTGGCATGCAGGGACGAAGCCAAGATTAGTTTCAAAGGGGCCATAAAGTAACACTTTACACATTATATACCTATATGTATAATTAAAAAATAAAAATAAAAATAAAATCATTCCTAAGGGTGTTTTTGAAAGAAAAATAAATTTCGAAAAGGGCACAAAGTAATATTTTTCAAATATTATATATATATATATATATATATATATATATATATATATATATATATATATATATATAAGGATGGCAATTTCTTCCGACCCTGCGGGTTTCCGCCCCACCTCGCTCCTAATGGGGTGAATTTAGTGGCCCTTAAATGGGTTTGGGATGGGTATGATAAAATAATTAAAAATTTGAAACGGGTTTTGGGCGAGGTCTGTTGGGATTTATATGCCCTGGCATAGCAAATTCCTATCTGGATTGTATTGACATATGTTCCTGACATATCTGAAATATTTATGATTTATATAATTGGTGAATTCAATGTATTATGTTTCAATTCACTATGAAATTGATAGTGTCCAGTTAATTACAAGAAATATTTATATATATGTATGTGATGACAATCAATGCATGATATATAAATAGTAATTATAAATTGAAATAACCTCTAAGTCAATATTGCACTTTGACCCCTCTATGCATAATTAGTTATCGGATAAATATAGCCATCAATCCGACTACTTAATTAATATATTTATTTTGGTACCTTTGATTATTTCTGGCTCGATCACAATAAAACATTTGTTTGACAAAAATAATAATTTAAATAAATAAATATATAATAAATCATTTTGTCTAAAAACACACGAAGGCCTTCGAATTTACTTTGTGATCAACCATAATCAATACAAAATAAATACAAGTAGCAATGATGCAAATATTGAAAATATAACCCTCTAACTATTAATTACATAACTACCCAAAGTGTCGGTCTAAGGATCCCGAAGAATCCGCCGAACAAATCAAAGTAATTATTAATTAATAAAAGAGTCTATACTTTTCTCATGCTTAAGAGTCAAATGCCATGACGGTAATAGGGAGTAATTGCATACGACGGCTCTCGCAATATATCTCAACCTAACGCGGATCCAGTTCAAGTCTTAATTAATTATGAGTCCATCCATAATTACCGACTATGAACAATTTATAATTACTATTTATATATCATGCATTGATTGTCATCACATACATATATATAAATATTTCTTGTAATTAACTGGACACTATCAATTTCATAGTGAATTGAAACATAATACATTGAATTCACCAATTATATAAATCATAAATATTTCAGATATGTCAGGAACATATGTCAATACAATCCAGATAGGAATTTGCTATGCCAGGGCATATAAATCCCAACAGCTCCCACTTGCCCTCATAGCCAATTCAAATTGCACCTAACTCCAATGTTATCCAGATGATGATCAAAATTATTGATCAATGACACCTTTGATAATGGATCAACAAAGTTGTGTTCCAATGCAATGTTTTAACTACAAGTGCATTTTCTTGCCGGACAATATCATGTCGAACATGATACTTCCTCTCAGTGTATCTTGTTCCTCTTTTCTCTCTCTAGAAAATTAGGGTTTATGTTCTCATCTAATGGAGGCTCCCACAAGCCTAGTTTTCCAAGGTCATTCAAGGAGGCTTATGAGTGATTCCTAAAGGCAAGACCATTACCAAGAAGATGGAGATCCATGGAAAAGATGTCTAGCAAAAGGGATCTACAATAAGTGAGAACATTCACTTTAGAGGAGAGATCTGAGGTTTACTCAAACTTTGATGTAAGTATTCAATCTTTTAGTTGAATAATACATCATATTTTATTTTATTTTTTGCATAAAACTTGTCTCTATGTGATGAATCAAGATCTATGAATTTAAATCCCTCGAAAAGTTTTTAAAACTAGCACGTTTCCCAACAAGGTCATCACTAAATCCGGCATCGCCCTGATTATATATGTATCTTTTAATTTTTTTTATAAAAAATATATATTTTATAATTTTAAGACCCTTGTTATTTTACTGGAAATATCTGTTAATATATTAATATTCAATACTTAGTAATTTAAAAGTTGGACTAACTTATTTATCAGCCCAATTTGAGCACATTGGGTTAATTTTTTATTTTTTTACTACATAATAAAAGTGGCATAACCTGGCCCACCCTTGCCGCACCCCTTAATTAAACAGAGTACATGGGGCAGAGTCGGTATTTTGTTTACCAGAATAGGGGTGAAAATGGTATAACAATTACAAACCCATTTCAAAATAGGGGCGGAATTGGTGTGATAAATTTATTTATGTATATAATAAATTTAATGGGCCAGCTTGGGCCCAGGGGAGGCATGTGTCCCCCCTGAGCCCAAGCTGGCTTCGTCCATGGTAGCATAACAGCACGACATTGGTGGAGCTTAAGGATGCCATAGTAGAGCTCTATTACAAACACGCGTCGTAATCTCGACAGCGACACCCACGTAAGGGCACTCGAAGACAACTTCCACAGGAGGTATAAGACCAAAGTAGGATGGACTATGGGGTCTATATCTCTCTCTGTGATCTAGAAAGACCTTTGGTTTGGAGGATGAGAAACTAGAGCTCGCTAAGCCTATAGACGTAATCGATGAGATGATGAAGCCTCGAGTGTGTAGACACTAAAATTTTAGTGGGCTTTGGTTTTGACAAATGGACCCATTAAATATGGGCCTAATGTTTAATTAAGTTATTTAATTGGTACAAGCTTGGTCCACTTAAATTATTTAATTAGCCCAGCCAAGATGGTTAAATAAAAAGATAATTATTCCTAATAAAATATATTTGGAATAATTATTTTTAAGGATAATTATCATAATATAACCGGCCCGACCCAGTTATTATTTTATCCTTATCAAGAGATGACACGTGTCATCATCCTATAGATCCAAGAAGCTTATAAATAGAGACCTGAAGGAAGAAGGAAATGACACACAAAGTCAGAAATCCAAAGGGTTCAGAAATTCAGACACAAATTCAGAGTTCAAAAATCCAGAGACTCAGAAATCCAGAAGGTCCAGAAATTGAGAGAATCAGAAATACAAAGGGCAAACCTGAAGGCAAAAAACACCAAGCACATCCAAAGTCGTGCCGTTCTTCACCAAATTCAACAAATCCTCTCTAAAGACAAAGAACAACAAGCACATCAAATCGTGTCGTTCTTCATCCAAATTCCACAGTGATCAACAAAAAGCACATCAAATCGTGCCGTTCTTCATCCAAATTCCACGATGATTCAAGATCAAACTCGTGCAACCCTTGGATCTAACCAACCAAAAAGGAGATCGAATCAAATGACCTTATTCTTTGTAAAGATTATTACAAAGGATTGTACTCCATCATTATAAATTAATAAAATATTATTTTTGCTCCATATTTTGTTCTTATTTGCATACAACAAATTTGTGTGTACAAATTTTTGGCACGCCTAGTGGGATATCCTCTGCCTCAAATCTCTTTCTCCTATATCAAATCCTCAACAAATTCATCATCAAATTTTATGACTTCTAACAAGATTCAGACGAAGAGTAAGAATACCCCTAAAGACATCGCAGTCGGGACGGACAACATCATTACCACCACAAAAGGTGGCAAAAAGGTTGCAACTTTGTCAAGTGGTACAATCATCCTTACAAGTTCAATGACGTGGAACATAGTCAAAGCATTCGTTTCTGCCAAAAGACAGCACGATACGATGAGAGTCGATTCTACCAAATCTGTCAAAGTAACAACTCAAACTCATACCGCCTTCACCTCGCTGGGGGTAAGAAGGAAGATTCCTACAACCTCAAAGGTTGCTCCAGTCACAAGTTCAAGTTCAAGGCTGGTCCACCCAAGGCCAAAGATTTTTTCTGACTTTATCACTATACTAGTCATGATGACGAGTACTACTTCGTACGAAAAGCAATTGACGATTATTGCCCGTGCAATTGAAAGATTACAACACTCTTTCAAGGAACAAAATCTGAAAATTGCCTCGTTAATAGAAAAGTTAAAATTGCGTGACGACAATGCTGAGTCAAGCAAAGGCCGAATTCCTCATTCTAATTCCATGCCAGAGAACACTCTAAATAATGATCAAAATGACGTGTCCGCCAATCCAACAATTGATGATGCCTCCATCACCTCACTTTCCATCCAACAACTTCAAGACATGATAGTGAATTGCATAAGAGAACAATACAGTGGCGTTCCTCAAAGTGCTCGCATTTACTCAAAGCCTTACACAGAAAGAATTAACATCTTAAAAATGCCAATTCGGTATCAACCTCCAAAGCTTCAACAGTTTGACGGAAAAGGCAATCCCAAGCAACATGTCGCACACTTTATAGAAACTTGCGGCAATGATGGTGCAAACGGAGATCTCCTTGTCAAGCAATTCGTTCGGTCCCTCAAAAGGAATGCATTTGATTGGTACACAGACCTCAAAGCTGAAGGTATTGACAATTGGGAGCAGATGGAACAAGAATTTCTCAACCGTTTCTACAGTACTCGTCGTACTATAGGTATGTTGGAGCTTACAAACACAAAACAGATGCAGGGTGAACCCGTGGTTAACTACATCAACCGTTGGCGAGCTCTAAGTCTTGACTGCAATGATCATTTATCTGAAATTTCTGCAGTTGATGCATGTATGCAAGGTATGCGCTTGGAGCACATGAGTTTAAACTGTCTCTCAGAAAAAAAAAAAAAAAAAAAAAAAAAAAAAAAAAAAAAAATAACACTCCTTAACACGAGTTTAAACTGTCTACAAAAACTCTTTGATACGAGTTTAAACTATCTCCAAAAAAAAAAATGACACTCCTTGACATGAGTTTAAACTGTCTACCTGAAGAGAAAGAGAAAAAAAAAAAAAAAAAAAAAAAAAAAAAAAAAAATCAAGAACTCCTTGATACGAGTTTAAACTGTCTCAAAAAAAAAAATGACACTCATTGACACAAATTTAAACTATCTACCTGGACCAAAAATAATAATAATAAAAAAGAACTATTTGATACAAGTATAAACTGTCTAGAAAAAGAAAAAAATTGAACTACGTGATGACTTGATCCATGTTCAGGGTACGTAGGCATCTTGGAGGCCTATTCAAAGTTTAGTCCACCATTAAAAAATAAAAATTAAAATTAAAATTAAAAAAAATAAATAAAAATAAAAAAACTCCTCAAAGTTGCAAAATGGCAAAGTTACTTATCATGCAATATCAAAAAGTGCTCGTCGCACCAGTGAACTTGGCACGCCACCAAAGTATAGCTGCAAGGAAGAAATTTGGCCCGCCGCCAAAGTGTAGCTGCAAAGAAGAATTTTGGTCTGTCATCATAGTTGTAGCTACAAAAGAAATTTTGATCCGGCAAAGTGTAGCTGCAAAGAAATAAATTGGTTCGTCACCAGATTGTAGCTGCCTAGAAAATTTTTGCTCATCGCCAAGGTATTGTTGAAAGAGAAATTTTGTTTGCCGCCAAGACGTCACTGAAGAATCCGGTTCATCACCAAGGTGTTGTTGCAACAAAATTTTAACTCACCACTGAAGTGTCATTGAAAGAAAAAAATTCTGCTCACCGCCGAGTTGTTGCTGAAAGAAAATTTTGGCTTTCTGTCAAGGTATTGCTAAAAAATATTTGCTCACCATCGATGTATTTTTGAAAGAGAAATTTGGCTTTCCGTTGAGGTGTCGTTGAGAAAAAAATAATAATTCTGCTCGCCGCCGAGGTATTGCTAAAAGAGAAATTTGGCTTTCCATTGAGGTTTCGTTGAAGAAAAATTCTGCTTGCCGCCGAGGTTTTGCTGAAAAAGATCTTTGGCTTTCTGCTGAAGTGTCGAAGAAAAAATTTCGCTCGCCGATAGAACCATGAAGAATATTACTGGCTGGGCACAACATTCGAGGAATGTTATGAATACATCTCCATGGTGATCATATGAAGACAGCTCGCCGATAGAACCATGAAGAATATTAGTGGCTGGGCACCAACATTCGATATAACCATGAAGAATATTAGTAGCTGGGCACCAACATTGAAGGAATGCTTTGAATACATCTTCATGGCGATCATATGAAAATAGGGAGGCAAATAGAGCACCATATAGTTGTTGTTTTGATAGAAAGTCGTGGAAACGTGCCAAGACATCTTCTAACCACTCCCAATATAGTTCGGTGTGTGGCAATTCAGCAGAAAGTATACAGGGAATACTCCATGATACTTTCTTCGCTTGAATGTTAAAGCCCAAGAGTGAAAATTGGTTTTCCTCAATTATTCTCTCACGAAGTGGAGAATTTAATATCAAGGCTTCCGAGACAATAGATTCTTCATTAATCTGATTAAAAGCAACGTTGGTGAGGTCGCATGCAGCCTTGTGTGTCCAATGAGAAGAACAATGTTCATTGTCGGGATCAGGCATTTGAATGCGTGTCTAATGAGAAGAATAATGTTCATTGTCAAAATCGGGCATATGAATGGCATTGCGACCAAGAAGTGAGTTAGATACGCTTAATGTGGTTCCTTGGCTTCTTCGACTATTTTCGCTCTTTAAGATAGTCATCTTTTGCTTTTGCAAAACACTTGAACTCCATCATGATGGAACAACAAACAAATTTTGAAACTCGATCGGTGTTGTCTAGAAATCAAGCCCTTTAAAAAAAAGGGTTAAAAAAAAAAAAAAAGGCGTGAAAAGGTGGAAAAAAAAAAAAAAAAAAAAAAAAAAAAAAAAAAGAAGCTTGAAAAGAGAAAAATAAAATAAAATAAAATTGGATACTTCAAGTCCTATTTGAAAAAGGACACAGGTCTTGTCAAACTTGGGACTCGAAGTAGTGGCAATTTGTAGACACTAAAAATTTGGTGGGCTTTGGTTTTGACAAATGGACCCATTAAATATGGGTCTAATGTTTAATTAAGTTATTTAATTGGCCCAAGTTTGGTCCACTTAAATTATTTAATTAGCCCAGCTCAGATGGTTAAATAAAAAAATAATTATTTCTAATAAAATATATTTGGAATAATTAGTTTTAAGGATAATTATTATAATATAACCGGCCCGACCCAGTTATTATTTTATCCTTATCAGGAGATGGCACGTGTCATCATCCTATGATCCAAGAAGCCTATAAATAGAGGCCTGAAGGAAGAAGGAAGGGACACACAAAGTCAGAAATCCAAAGGGTTAAGAAATTCAGACACAAATTCAGAGTCCAAAAATCCAGAGACCAGAAATTGAGAGAATCATAAATCCTCCAAAGTCATGCCGTTCTTCACCATATTCAACAAATTCTCTCTGAAAACGAAGAACAACAAGCACATTAAATCATGTCGTTCTTCATCCAAATTCCACGGTGATCAACAAAAAGCACATCAAATCGTGCCGTTCTTCATCCAAATTCTACGGTGATTCAAGATCAAGCTTGTGCAGCCCTTGGATCCAACCAACCGAAAAGGAGATCAAATCAAAGAACCTTATTCTTTGTAAAGATTATTACAGAGGATTGTACTCCATCTTTATAAATTAATAAAATATTATTTTTGTTTCATATTTTGTTCTTATTTGCAGACAACAAAATTTATGTATACAAAATATAACACTTATAATCACATTTAATGCGCTCAGCTATTGCCGCTTTTGAGGGGATGTGCATTTAATACAATAGAGCATCTCCACGAGCTGAATGAACATTATGACCCTAATACACCGATGGCAGGCGTAGCAAGTAGGCTCAAGCTCCGAGAGCAACTCTCCAAAGTCAAGCAACAAGCTGAGACTATAAGTAGGGACATTCATGCATGCAATAAACAATTGAGAACGCGGCAATCGGTATTCCTACATTCTTTCACAGGTCTCATTGACTAGTCTACCTTTTCTCCTTCTCCCAAGGTCCTTCTTCAGGTCCATCACATTTTGTGTCTAGAAATAGCATCTGTTACTTGTAGCAACATTGTATTAAAGAACCCCACATTTATAACCAATCTAATAATCTAATTTCCGAAAAAAGAGATGTTATGAGCCCTCTATGTGTGTATGCTTCAATATTCACTTAGATTCCGCCATGGAGGAATGTGCGCTATGAAGATGTATAGAGAGAATGTGGTTGGTTTATTTCAGGTCGTTTGCAAACATAGCTATATGTTTAGTGCATTAGTTTTCTCCAATATTTCATATACACAAATATTACAAATAAAACAAATTAAATTAAAATGAAGTTTTTCATGCAAATAGCATTTCAAACACATTCATCTAATCATGCTAGTAACAACTCTTCAAAATAAGTATGAAGATATTTGTAACTGTAAATTTGTTGAGGAATAACAGAGTAACTAATAATTTGTCAATGTCTTTTTTGTTTTCAAACCCTCCAATTCAAATTTGTAATTTATAGCTAATCACATTTACTAATTAGGCTGATTGAAAAAGATGAGAATGACCAGAATTGGTATAGAACTTATTCACTTGTATTCATTTACATGCTGAAGGGCAATTCAATATTATGGCAACTTCACTTAATCACTTCCAACTTATCTAGTTACCCAAAATTTTAACCTAAAAGCTACTTCCATGACAGCAGCTTCCTCCAAAGCAACTCACAAGTAAATAACCACTAAAATCACGCAAATTTTTGCTTTAAACTTTCTTGAATAATTGTAATGAGTGAATTTTGTTTTCACAGTCAATCGAGACCTAGAAAAGTTCAAATTTCCTTGAAAACATGTTTTACCTCGAATTAAGTACATGGGGTGAGCATTTCATCTATGGTCCAATAAGTTTGATCAATCCAAGGCCTTTTGATATATTAGTATTGAATTACCATTTATCTACCTTATTATGAAGTAATAGTACTACTTAGTGATACGTGAATTATAAGCATACCTATAATTCTTTTAACAAATATTCCGGTTTCAAGTTAGAAAAATGCAGTAAAATACGCGTATTTTACCTTCAACATGAAACTTTTTGTTACATCTTGATATATCTAGGTCACCTTTTAATTTCTTTAGATATATATATATATATAAATTGCAAAGTCTAGCGAAAAAGGATTGGAACGTCAAGAAATATATATATACATATATATATATATGTATATATATATTTCTTGACGTTCCAATCCTTTTCCGCTAGACTTTGCAATTCTAATTTTATATCTTCTTCAAACACAAGTTTTCCTTTTTAACACTTTTTACACTGGTTGGCAATTAAAATGCTGGGTGATGTAAGGAAAAGCACGAGATTTGGAGTCAAATGATCTTAGTAACCTTATTGAATGTGTTAACAGTAAAGAATGGGAGAATTATTCCCTACAGGCAACAAATAGCAGTTCTAATGATATTAGTCACAAATGATGATGATTTTCCTTGGTTAAATGAGGTACTCTAATTTTAAAGGATTTTTTTTAAATAAAAATAAATATAGTTGAATATTTGAATTAAATTTTTTTTTATTATTTTTGTGATGCTTTTCAAATGGTTGGTTATTGTGTCAATGTCAACTTGCATAAAATAAAATTTTATTTTATTATTTGTAACATTTATTTATTTATTTTATTATTTGTTGTTGGAAGTGTTGATGAAGGCAAAATTTGGATCAAAATTGGAGGAATCCTACTAATCTTTTGAGATTTTGAGGGGTATGATCACATGGAAAAGTGAATTATTTGCTTGGACTTGTTGGGCCTAGGCCTGATCCAAAACCCGAATAGGTGTGTGGGTGGTTTAGTCTACCAGTTGGGATAAGATGTGTTGATTCACCAAATAGGTGCAACCCATGGGTGGTTTAACCGAAAAGTTGTACCCAGGGGCTGAAGTGGGGCAACCGTTGACTATTCGGGTTGAATAGATGCCCCGTTTGCCAACCCGTACCATACCTCTTCCGAACCAGGAGTCTATAACCTCCAAATTTCATTTCCATCATCATATTTGAGTCCAAATTAGTAGGTTCAAGTTCATTTGTGTCCGAGTTGGCTCAAAGAGAGTGTAAGTTTTGATTGCTAATTCAATTGGTTTGAAGTATTATTGTTACTTCAATATCAATATCATTTTACTGTGAGACACAGTCCCTGGTGTTGGCACCGAATTGTCTTGAGCACACAGAATCCTATTCTAGCATCCCTCTTAATACAAGATCTTTATTTGTTAGTTAATAATACATTTGTTAGTAATTTATATATATATATAGCTCACCAAATTAAACGGCCAACTATCATTTTAATAACATTTATTACTTTTTTTCTTTTTCTATCTCTTTCTTTTACAAATATATGACATAAAAGAAGCACACGAAATCCTATTCTAACATCCTATTTTTTTATTATTATTTATTTTTTTACAAATAAATAAAAGAAAATAAATAAGATTTGCAGCCAACTTTTGGTCCAGAGTTTTAAATTATTATACATGCACATATTCGACATTCATATTGCCTTTTTTTGGCCCAATTTTTGTAATATACTTTTGTAAAAAAAAAAAAAATCAAATTATAAGTAAAATATAGAAAATAATAATAATAATAATAATAATAATAATAATAATAATAACTCCACGTAATAATTTCCAGTTAGACTTACTCTTAAACGAGAGTAAACAGATAGATGATCAAAAGTAATCAAAATTAATAAAATTAAATTAAATTTATTAATAATAGTTCTACGTCACTAAAAGAAGTTATCAATAACGAGTCAAAAATATATGTAATTCACTCACTGAACCAGTCAAAAATATATGTAATTCACTCAATGAACCAGTCAAAAATATATGTAATTCACTCAATTACTTTTACCGTATAATTCAATCAATGAATGGAAGAGAAATTTGGAGAGGAAAAGATGTAACAAGTGAAAAACTCCAAGAGTCCATAAGCCCATATTTGAATCACTACAATATCAGCCATCTGGTGCCAACTGTTATACGTTATATGTTTAGTCATTACTTTTCTCAAATATCTCAGAATAGCTGCATATTCTTTCCAATTCATAATAATATGGATATGCAGCCAAGCTAACAATAAAACAAATTTGTTAAAATAATTTTTTTCATACTATCAACGTTTCAAACACAAATATTTACCTAGTCATGCTAGACAGTCGGGATCCTTCCATATTTATTAGTTAGTCACCAACTAATTGGAATGACCAGAATTGGTAGAACTCATTCACTCAAATTGTATTCATTTACATGCTCGAAGGTCAATTCACTATCAAGGCAACTTCACTTCCAACTAACCTACTTCTTATCCAAAATTTTAACCAAAAAGCTAGTAGTTCCTCCAAAGCAACTCAAAAAAAAATAGCCACTAGAATCACATAAATTTATGCTTCAAGCTTTCTTGAAAGGAAAATCACAACAGCCATTTCTGCCCATAAATTGAGCATTTAGGACTAAACAAGGTCACCACTAATAATATGAAAAGTGTTGTGCCTTTTCCATCCTTTTTTCCCCCAAAATATATTACCACGTATTAGCTGTGGTAGATCCTGTCCAACCAAAGACTAGAGACTTAAAAATTGCTGGCATACAAAACCTAACAAACTTTACACCCTGATTGCTATCAAAAATTTCCAAAGCTTGAAATGGATTTTCCCAAATCTTATAGGATGACAGTAAGGTACCCAAGTGAAGTTGAATACATAAAGAAAAGCCGTATGGGAAAGTCGACTAGCACATAACTTTATCTTGCTCCAGAGAAGCAAGAAACATTACTTCTTAAAATTTACCTCACAAGATTTATAAATAATATGAGCAGAATTATCATCAAAAATTCAGAAGCTGAGGCTAAGATCAAATATTACATAATCAAAATTGTAACCATTCAACTTAGAAGCTGTGTCAAGTCATAAAAGCTGTTAAAGACTACGCTAGCGATTACAATTCAAGCTGTTGGACTTGACAAAGCAGGTCTGCAGGCTCAGAGTTTGTAATATACAGACCTGGTCCTGTTTAAGATGATTATCATTTCTTCAGTTCAATTTATTACCCAATAAATTCAATATCTACAAAATCAGTGTCAATTGATCCCGGGTATGTTATTAGCAATTTACGTTATCTCCAGCACTAATATTAGTAAGAATTAACTCAATGTTAGTGCATACTGCATAGACAACCTCCCCCTAGTATACTGTTTCTTGTAAAGAAATGAATGCGGGAAGAAAACCTTACAATCAGCCACAAGCCGAGGGTAGGCTATGTATTGCAAGAAATAGAAACTAGATTGGTAATCGAACAAGCACAACGAATAGAGAACCTAACTACAAAGATTAGGTTCAAAATAGGAAACAGATGAACAGTTCATTTCAATTGCATCAATCGAATCTAATACATCATGGAGCATACAACACATATTTGACAACCCCATGATAACTCTCCACTTAACTATTAGCTATGCCCCTATAACCAACAATATTGCATAACACTCCTAAAATGAAATCAAATCAAACACATAAAATGATATCAATCCATCTTTCCACAAATGATCAATCATGAATCAGGTTAACATCACACTTCATAATTCAATTAGAAGAACATAATATCATTTCATTGTCATCACAAAATAAATCAATGTGTGATTGCTCGTTTATTTTAGAAATTCCAGTATATTAAAGTCCACATTACCTCAAATGTTTACACCTTATTAAAAAAAGCAGCTCCGAAATTTCCTCTTCACTCATCCAAAGCAAAATCAACAAAATTTCTTCTTTAGGTCCCAAAATCAAGACCCCTCTGCTGAATTCTGCTCCGACCCCTTCGATCCCAAGGCCTCTGCCTCGGCCGCAGCTTCTTTTGCTTTCTCTTTCTCCAATTCCCTCATGGCCTCCTCCTCCACCGCCTTCTCGGCCTCCAGAATCGGCCCGTAGTAATCGGGATGAGCCTCCATACACTCCTTCAATTTTCCGGTCAACTCGAAACACTTGTCGACAATGTCCTCCTTGTTCTTTTCGGCCTCTTCGATGCACTTCTCCCAAGCAACGAAACTGTCTTTGCATCCACCTCCTTTCATGAACAAGCAAAACCCACACTCCCCTTCTTCTTCCTCTTCGCCTTCCACACCTCCTTCTTCTACATTCTGCCGTTCTTGATTTTCTAGGGTTTCGTTTTGTTCCGCGGGTGGGGGATCTGAAGATTGATGTGCTGGGGTTTGGGTATCTAGGGTTTTGGTCTCCTCAGGTTTTGAATCTAGGGTTTGTGAAGTCTGGGAGGAAGCCATGTTTGTGGTATTCGGCGTCGAATCGATAGGGCTTGTTGAAGGTGTGGACAATAGGTCTCCCATGGCCGACTCTCTTATAAACCTCTGCTTAAACCCTCCATCGCTGAAAATTCTTCTTCTTTTTTTATTAATTAATATTTTGGTCTTAGGGTCGGAAATTTCTTCGAACGCAACTGGAATGCGTAATACGGACAAAGGTCAATCACGTGATGTGGAACAAGGCACGTGAGATGGTACAGTGAAATGGGCTAGGTCAAGTTGGGGAAATATTGGATCAATTTTGGCCATTCGATCATAGGACTTACGGCCAGATTTGTTTGACCATGAGCCATTCTAGAACTAAATCAAATCCCCGTGAGAGATTTGCATATGCATTTAGGATGTCGCGGATTTGGGACGAGACACGTTTTTTTTCAAACTCTCTTCCAATGAAAATTATCTCTCAAATTCAATTCGGGTGCCATTACATATTTTTTATGAAAAACATTTCGAAATTTAACATAATTTTTGTAGGTTTTTTTTTTTTTTTTTTTTTTTTTTTTGGAGTATAGTCAAATATCTAACCATCATAGTGACAAAAATATTGTTAAAATTAACATTATTATAAGAAAATAAAAGATATAGTTAATAAAATAATATTTTTTATATATTAATTATTAATCGGGGTATTTACGTGTTTTAAACTCTCTTTCCAAACTCGACCCTAAATCAAATTAGGATTTACCCATTTCCATCCAATAGGGGCTAAACGGCACGTGTTAAATTAGCATCCTTATATGCATTTTCTCTTAACTCACATAAATTGAACAATTATTCAAAAAAAAATAAATAAATAAATTTCAGCTAGAAGGTTTATTTAAGTGATTTGTCAAAATGTTTGGTGGTGTTTGATAATTTAATTTAGCACTTAATTCTAAGTGCTTCTTTGATAACAAAAATTGAATATCACTCAGATTTTTAAAAGATATTAAAAAATATTTATTTTTAATTACTACTAAAAAACTTTAATACTTAAAATTCAACTCTTAATATTATTAGTACAAAAGTTGGTAAGAATTCTGTATTTTGAACCTTCACCATTTTAACTCTTAATAGTATTAGTACAAACGTTGGTAAGAATTCTGTAATTTGAACCTTCAACATTTTTTTTTTTTGAAAGGTTAAAAGTCAATTACAATCTTAAGTGGAGCTAATGAATCTTTGGATGAAAATGAGAATTTTAAGTTCAACCTAATCGACGACTTCTGACATCACAGAGAGTGTTTGAATGAATATACCTTGAGGAGAAATTTTAAAATTTCTTCTCTCCTTCAGAGGAATGTTATGACTTCACCTTAGCCAAAATTTTGATATTTCATGAACTTCCCAAGTTGGACAAGCCAAGATTCAACTACAAATAATTAAAAATAATTGCATATTATATACACGGCTGAAAAGAAATCAATCTACTATATATTGTAAAACAAATTACATGCAAATAACATACAACAGAAGTGTTTTTAAATTGACTTCCAAATAAAGCACTATCCACCAAATCAGATGTTCACTGACTTGGACAACACAAGTTCAACCATTATACACATACCAAGAAAAGACAATCTTTCCATCAATTTAGTTATAACCTGCCCATTAACAACATCAACTAGATGACACCCAGAAATGAACACATCTCTCTCAACACAAACAGGAATTAGATGAATCCAAGATGATTTTAGGGAAGTGGAAACTGAATAAGTGAATGATCTTAGATCATCAGATAGATCAACGCCACCGCGGCATTTCTTATTAACAAATCAAATGTATCTTCATGAACAGATTAGGGGAACAACCTTGAGTTCCTGCCTAACTCTATGATCATTTATCTTCAATACATTTCTCCCTCAGCATCCAATTCTTCTCACATCATAACCACAGCTAGAAATATTTGAATGTTTGACGTTTTCAGGTTTTGACAAGACGATGAAATCACTTGATCAAAATTAATATATTAATAGAATAAAGAATCCACATAATACAATCTATATTTCAACAAGAAATGCCAGTAAAATTCGTAAATTTTGTGAAGTTCTACAAAAAGAGATACAATGAAACCTACATTATTAAGTTCAATGCTGACCACAAACCTGGTTGAACCATTCTGTCCACCTGTGTTTCCTCTATCTCCACTGCAACAGAAGAAGTGTGGTACCTTGACCCGACCGCAACTCCTGCAAAAAATGCCAATATTGATAATGCAAAAGAACATATGCTAAAAGTATGAAAATGTGGAATACAGTGCAAGTTTGATGTTCTTAGTTTATCAAACTTCCATAAATTGGATCAGCATGAATGAAGAGAGTTTATTCATTTATTTGCTAATAAAAACCAACGGGCTAGTTGCCTAGCGGTATCGGGCCCCTACTTTCCAAAAGAAGGTCAAGGGTTCAAGTCTCAGTAAAAACGTGTGTGTGAGTACCAACTAAGAAAAAAAAATATTTATTTGTTAATTTTATGATCTCGTCAAGCAGGAAGCATATGACTCAGGACTTCCATATTATTCAATAAATGTTGAATACGATATTTTCAAATCAGTTAATCAAAATACTATATATTTGTAATAATTTGGGAGTACATAAGACAAAGAGTTCAACGTAATTAAAATTTATCAGATCTCTCCCCCTCCGAATACACCAAGTGCATGCTATCCCTTTAAATGCCTCAATTGATAATGAATTTGAACCATATCATTGTTATCTAATGATGACAGAACCCCAGAAAATGCTCACATATAGTTGGCGTCTGTGAAAGATTGCTGAGTGGATTTCCCACAAAAGTGCTTCTTATTTCCAGCACTAATTCAGTGTCCTGTCAGCGACTCGGCAACTAAAGCCCCAAACAAGGCAACAACCAATTGACACCAAAAAGCGAAGGCCAAAGGGCAGATACAGCCTTGGCGCAATGGTAAGGTTGCTCCATTGTGACCTGGAGGTCATTGGTTCGAAACCAACAACCTCTCCATGTGAAGGTAAGACTTTGTAGATTTGACCCTCCCCAGACCTGCAATGGCGGGAACCTTGTGCATTGGGCTAGCCCTTTAGCCCTTCACAAGGGAGATACAGCTCACACTCCATCCAGCAATGAAGGAAAAAATGATCCAGTGATTTTGCCGCCTCCTTGTACAATGTACAACTATTTGGAATTGATCAATTTTCCACTTAGCATATCCCCGGTCACATTTCTCTATCACCATAATCCATGAGAAGAAAGCAGCCTAAGTAAGGACCATGGATTGATTCCAGGGCCTTTTCACTAGAATTCCAATTTCAAGATTCTTATAAGCCTTTCAAAACAACTCAACTTCTTTTTAGAAATTGACTCATTTTGCCCAACAAAACAACTCAACCCACCATCACTCTTAACCTCCATCCAAATTTTCCATAATAATCTTATACAGTTGCCAATCTTTAAATCAGCCTCTCCACCCACCTTAGAAACCAAAAAATAAAGATCTTTCCCGAAAGGAACATGTCATGAAAATCCCTCATCACCTCCAATAGATTCTCCATGATTACATGCAATGCATAGCACCCACTCAGACATAGAGCTTTGTCAACCACCAATAATGGTGATGCCTCAACGACCTTTTTCTCCCCTTCTTCAGTAGGACTTTCAAGCCAAAGCATATCAGAAGTTTTGATAGCAACAAAGTCCAATCAACCAACAGTCTCACTAATTTCTCAATAATGGCTTTTGAATATGTCCGCATTTCTCTTGGATGTGTTACTCTATTCCAACTCCCAGACCCTAAAATCAATATGCTACCTACTAGTTTAGATTTTTAATGAGCAAAACAAGGCAACACTATTCGGTGTTCAATGCATGCTGTAAATAGTTGAATGTTCCCAATAGCACATTGTCCATTCCCTACCCTGACCTCATGGTTTTGTTCTCTTTCAAGTGGTCATTTGGTTTTAGTTTTTATACCATCTATTTGGAAAATAATAATTATCTTACCATCAAGTGATCTATAAAATAATGAAGCAAAGGTTTGGAACCCTCCTTATAACATAAACATTCTAACGTCAAATGACGCATTCAAACCTGCACGATGCATGTGGGATGCTTCCATTAACTAACATAAGCCTTTCGTTTGTTAGTGATGAAAATGTCTGAGAAAGAAGAGAAGCAATGGAAGCAGATAAAAGAAGAAACTTCTCTACAAGTGGAAAAGCCCAAGACTCGCGCAACTAGAATAAAAACCATTTAATTTCCTCCTTACAGATTGTAGTTATCCTATTATTTCCTCCTTACAGATTGTAGTTATCCTATTATTTCCTCCTTAATAGCCATATGCTGCTTAACCACAATAGGAAAATAAAAAATTGTTAAACGAATATCAAACTAACAAGTGATGGCATACTTCTATATTCACCGAAATCTTAAATTAACTGAAATAATCAATGGAGTCACTTTCTCAGTAATATTTAGTTGTTAATCTGAGACAATTGACTAAAACAAGATTTTAACTTAAGGCTATTCAGACTACAAAACATATACTTAACCCTTCAACCACACAACATTCAGAAATTCAACAAATTTTCAGTGTGAATCCTGCACTAATAAACTTATACCGGAACATAATTTGTAAATAGAAGGCATTATTAACAAGGCTCTTACTTGCAACGGATAATCACTGGAATATGTTTGAGAGCCTTCGGTCCATTTCTTATGCCTCACTTATGGGGAAAAACCTGCATGATCAACAAAAACATCTCAACTACTTCCATACATTCGAAGAGCATTTGTCATTCACCCAAAAGTTTTACACTTACTAAGCAGCACAACAATTGGATTGGGGGGAACCTTTAGCAGAGATTAATAACACTATGATAGAAGAACTAAAAGGCAGCAATCTTCCCTGATTGATCATTAAGAGATGAAGATAGAATTTGTAAGATTCAACAAAGAAAAAATGTGCAAAACTACATTAATTTTCAAGGGAACAACATACTTTATATATATATATATATATATTTTATTAAGAGACTATCTATAAACTATATTAAGATTACATCAGAGACCATACGACAATATATACACTATATCAAGAGGAAACAACTTCCTACTTTTAAAGGATCTAATAAGTAAAAAGAAATTTCACTTTTTTCCAACAAATCTTCATACTTATAACCAATCTGGAAATCTATTTCAACCTGAGGTACATTGATAATGTAATAGCAATTATAATATTAAAGAAGGTTACAGATGAAAGCTCCATAAACTAACACCTTGAAAGAAGGGAGCTATAAAGTGGAGTAATAGAATCCGAGATATGGGTAATCTTAAATAAAGATAATTCATAAGCAACCGTGCATGCACATGTAGCATCACGCAAGCCATTACACCACGTGCCAAAAGTAAACAGTGCTCCCGATGCTGAAGGTGCCTTCTCCATATGACCATGAGAAGCAGGCCAATAGCATGTCGATTTTGGAATATCAAAACATCATGACTCATTCAATCAACAGTTGAGAAAATTTAACCTAGCTGACAAAACTACACGAGAAGCAAAACAAAGCAAAGTGACAGTGACTAAAAAGCACAAGAAAAGTGCAAAGAACTCACAAATAATCAAAGGCATAAATCATGGGGATTTTTTCCATCACAAGTATACAAGGACATACTTTGCGGCCAAGAACCAACAATGGAGAAAAGTGTTAATGGAGCTCAACAGTAGTTGTGACCTTAAGTAATTCTAGATGACAGATGCAAAAAGTTATCCAGACATAATACAACACATTATTGAGGGTAAAGCAAATGGAATGGAAGCTACCAATCGCAAATACATAAAAATATATATATAAATTAAAAAATAAATAAATAAGAAGAAGAAACTTGGAAATTAGAATCATGATCCACAGGAAATGGGTAAATATTCTTATGTTGAATTTAATAGCGAAGTCAAAAAATTTAAAAAGAAATGAACTTAATATCAAAGCAAAAAAGAGATATATACACCCACACACGACATATATAAAGTTTACAGAATTCCTCACAAACTCAAAAACATTTCCACAAAAAAAATAATAATAATAATAAATTAATAAATAATGTCCCACAATCTTATCGTTTCAAATAAAATACCACTCATAAGGAGAATAATCTAAAGCTTAAACAACCATACAAGAAATTTAATGAACTTTTATCCAAAACGTTAAAGTAAAACTAAGATCAAACCAACTAGGAAAAAAAACTAACATCAAACAACATTGTTTTTGTGTACCTCTCTATGCTTTGTGTATTCTTTCTCATTATATTCTATACTAGTTTTGGTTGTGGTTAGGGATTAATCGAGGTGAATTGGTTACCCTCAAACTCGAACTCCAAACCTAACACTATGAAAACATACATTTTTTTTTTTTTTTGGTGTAAAACAAAACCAAATCTTAGGTCTATTTCCAATCTTCCTGTCAGTACATGTGTAAGTGGACATATATTAATGCACTTTCCTATACGTCTTGTACTCCAACTCATGTTCTCACGGTTCACAAGTCTAAAAATTATACCAATACACCAAGCAACAGACCCTAGTATAATTTTTTAAGGAAAAATACATCACTTCATTTAAACATTATGAGAGAACACATTGCTCTATATGAGTTTTTTTTTATCCAATTCCTTTTCAAGATACATACAATGAAAAAAAAAAAAAAAAAGAAAGAATAGTGGCATTCAATATAATCACAAGAAAGTGAGAAACTCAATGAAAAAATCCCTAATAATCATAGTAGCATAAACTATAACAAGATTCAAGCTATCATATTTTGCAAAGGGAATAGATTAAACCATTTATATTCCACTTTCACCGTTCTGCAACTTGTGTAACCAATGACATGGAGCAAATTAGTATAGGTCTATTTAAGCTTACTGGCTTAGTGATGGTAGGGGAAACAAAAATGAAAAGAGAATGCAAAAGGAAAGCTTAAAAGGAAATAAATGAATCCATTTATAAAAAATGATGATTTCTTTTCCTAGCAAGTTTTGCCAAAAGTTCCCTTACTAGTTTAAAAGGAAAAGGTTGAGCTTTCTCAATGTTACAAAACTCTTCTCTTTTTTCCCCTCCCTATTATCTTTATTTCCCGGTATTTCCAGCATAACTAAACATTGTAACTTGTTTTCTGAGTTCCAAGCAAAGCCTTTTAGTATATCCTACAAGGGATGATTACTTGAGTTCGGCTAAGAGTTCAAGGATATGGGTAAACTCATATCTCCTTCCGATTGTCTCTTATATTTGCTTGAGCACCATAGCAGAAAAAATAAATAAATAAATTTGCAAAAATAATTCAGTGATTGAACAATACTACCAGTATAATCGAAGTACCGAACACCTTAAACTTCAAAAACATGAAATCATTAATTAGATGGACAACTGAGGGATTAAACAAAAGTATAGTTCCTCAACTAAACACCCAACAAAAAAATAAGACAAACCCAGATCTTCAAAAATTACATAAACAACAGTGAGAGGAGTATATAAACAAACTAGTACCAACATAGAATGATCCGAAAATAAAATAAGGACCCAAAATAATATGCTGATTTTTTAATACCAGTTCATATCTTCTTGCACCAAACACCTAAACACTAAAAATAATCATTCCCAACCTAAAACAATCAAAACCCAAATCTCCCAACATCAAATAAACAACGGCTAAATGAGTATAAAACAAAATTAATTTATCAATATTTTTATAAAAAAAAAAAATTTAAATAAAAAAAAGTTGTCTTGGTAATGCCAATTGGAAAACAAGAAATGGAATATGAAGTGCACCTTCTTCTTCGGAACGGCCATGAGCTCCATTGATCCATATCCGAAAGAGAAACTCGGGAATCCGAATTCGATGTTTCTGTTCTCAGAGTTTAGATCGAATTCAGGCAAAATCAAATGTGGTGATATGGTCATAGGGTCGTTGATTGGACTATCAAGCGGTGCAGATTGGGCGATGGCGTGAGTTGACCTCCTGAGCCCTAACGAGCACCACATGTTACCCCAGCGCTTCTTAGCATCGCCGCTCTAAACGCCATTGTTGCTGCGAAGGTTGAGCTAACACATTCCAGTATACAGCTGCTGAGAGACGGCTCGTGTTATATGATTAAAATGTAATCGGCTAGTTAGGAAAGATTTGAACCCGGTGCTCCGTAGATCATTATTCCCCGAATTAGTGAATAACGCCCCTAATACCCCAATTATCCAACAATAAATAAATAAGGTTAATAACACTCACACTTCCTATGGTTTACCATAACATAAACAATTACATCCTTCAAATTTAAAAATTTAATAAAATGAACAAAGACATCGCCACCTCTGTCACAAGCTAAAAAATACTTGCCTTTTGATTTTTGAATTAAACTATTTAAATTATAAAATTACCTATTTAACCTTTTTAGTAACTATAATGGACTATTTTAACCCATACACCCACTAGCCTACCACAGCATCGGATGGCTCATAAAGTGCATCATGGTCAAAAAAAAATTCCATTCTTCTTTCCCATTCTTCCCTTTTATCTATGTTTTCTCATTTTTCTCGAGCAACTACCAAGTCTACCAGTATACCACCGCCGCCCATACCCAGACCCACCTCTTCCTCTCTCTCTATTTATTTTCTCATATATATATATATATATATATATATAAGCACATACACGTATATCCAATTGCAATCAATTCAAACATATACTGCCCAAACTGAGACAAACAATTCTCTGGACTGTTTTGATTTTCATGTTTGTGATACCTCCTCATTTCAAAGCCATGAGTTGATCAAGTCCAAGCCCAAAATCAGGGGATATTAAACAATTAAAGTAATAATCGAACACAGAATACAAAAGATGAATAAGAATAAATAATAAAGCTGAAAAGAAACTAAATAATAAATCCTTCACAAAATAATCCAATAAAATAATCCTCCAATACTAATTTGAAACCTTTGATACCGGTAAAGATTACAACTCGGGAATCCATCATTTGGACCCCTAATAAAATCCCAACTAAAATAACTGAAATAAAACCAAATCCAAAGACTAAAACATAAAGAAGAATCCTACGTAGAGTCAGAAGAGGGAAGTAGATTGTCTCTGCTCAGCACGAACAATCTCTAAGTCTAGAATTGACGAACATCTGAAAAATAATAGTGGGTCAGGTCCACGAACAAGTTTTACTATACTACATCCCAAATAGAGACCCGATATACGTACATATCCTAGTCAACTCAACAATAATTACACAATCCATACATATATAGATATAGGGGCGCACACGGTCCGGTTTGGTCCGATTCCTGATGACACCGAAACCGATCTCAACGGTTTCTTAAAAATGGAACCGGAACCGTTGAAATCTGGAACTAGACCGAACCGAATCGACATTCACTGTAAGGTTCCTATTCGATTCCAAGGAACCGTTGACTATCGTTAATTGCTGCAATGAAAACCTAAATTTTCTAAGAGCTTTGCAAATCTCCGGCCACCCCTCTTCCTTCCAAGGCTTAATATGAAAGGTCATTTTGATATGCAAAATAAATAAATAAATAAATTAATTAATTAAAACAAAGCCCATACATACAAGTTAGCTGTTGCAAAAAGAAGGGGGCAAGCTTGAGAGTTGAGAGATAGCGGCTGAAGCTTGCGAACAGCGAACCCGAATTGGAACAACGGGCAATGGAAACTGAAAGATATGGGTTTTGATTTTTTGAACAATCTGAAATGATATGCTGATATGGGTTTTGAACTTTTGATTCTTGCAGACAGATAGATAAAGTGAAATATATGGGTTTTGAACTTTTGATTCTTATGAATTTTGTAATTTGCAGTTGCAGAGAGAGAGAGAAGTTCAAAGTCGAGAACGAGAATAGAGATGGAGGCGATTGGGGAGGCTGAAATGATTTGCCCTAAAAAAAATTTTGTTTATTTGGTTTAGAATTACTAATAATATAATCATATATATATATTACGGTTCAGTTCCGGTTCCGGTCCCGATTCCACGATTGATACGAGACATCCAACGAAAACCTCCTCAATGGCTATGATCATGACCTTTAAGCCACTTTCAAGACATCTTTCGGATGTTTTCCTATCTAAGCTCCAATCGGCTGTTTGAAACACTATTTCATAAAGAACTTCGCTTCTTTGACCGGGTTGCTTTAGAGCAAAACCTATTCTTTGATGATCAATAGGTAATTCGTTAAAAATCTTGATTTCCTGCGGTTTGTGACTAAAGAACATGGCCTACTAATATTTGTTTGATTCCGGGAACTTAGCGAAATAAGATACACACAAAAGGACTCTCACTGGACTACAAGGTGGCCTCAACCTGAATAGTAGGCAATATGCAAAACGCACATATTGTGATACCCCCGAATTTCCGGATGCGGGTTAGCCAGGCACACACCCGAATACCCGAGGATATCAAAACGAATCGGTAATAATCGAACACAGAGTACAAAATAGATAAATAAGAATAAATAAAAAAACTCATATAAATTAAAATGATAATCCTTTAATAAAACCTCAGAATAAATTTTCATTAACAAATTTTTTCTGATACAAGTAATCCTCCAATTTATACAACTCGGGAATCCATACTTTGTGGATCCCTAGAAAACCAAAACTAAACAAATGACAGCAATAACTGTCTACATCAGAAAACTGAAACATAAATGAACTCCTAAGTAAATAATCCGGAAGAGTGAAGCAAATGATCTCTGCTCAGCACGAACAATTCCTACTCCTGACGAACACTTGAAAAATAATGGTGGGTCAGGCCCACAAACAAGTTCTACCTTACTACAGTCCAAGTAAAGATTCGATACACGTATACATCCTAGGCAATCCAACAATAGCTAGTAGTCTGCATATATATATAGATACACACTATAGAACGCTTGCTAGACCATAGGTCTGTCTCAACCTGAATAGAAAGTAACATGCAAATCGCATATAAAGTAAATATGTATACATAGACCTACCAGAGTACACAACTATTTCCAGTTATCCATCCTAGGCGATATACGGACCCTAACCATGATCCTGAGACTCAAGCTCATAGCATGACACCATAATCATATACATAAAATCCATCTTATCCATCCATAAATAATTCAGATAGTTATTTAACTTGTTCAGTTGAGTTGACACGAATATAAGTAGGATTTAACATTTTTAATTAATCTATTCCCTTATACAAAATAGGTAGGACTTAACTTCTTTGGTTAATCCGTCCCTAGAATGCCACCGTCCCATACCGGTGCATTATATCCATACAATCCAATACATGATGCAACAAATAAAGCAATACATCAAATAATCCAAAATAACATGATACAAATCACATATATAATCCTTGCATATACTTAAGCAAAATAACAACTCTAAGTAACATGCATTTAATTTTTACAATAATAAATTAACATGCATCTCAAATAGATTTTTTTAACCTTTAAGACGTAATTAAACTATTTAAATCCAATTAATTTATTAAATTAGTTTAATTCCAATATTTATCTATTTAAATTGCTAGATAATATTAAGCAATGAAATCCTTGGTTAACAATATTCAAATTTATTTAAAACTTCATATTGTTCAAGTCCATAGCATATAGTCATAGATTATGCATTCCGGTTATTAATCCAATTTATTTAAATCATATAAATCATCCAAACTGAATTAAACATCATTGAACCCACCCTAACAATCAAACAAAACCTTTAAAAAACAAAATCTACAAGTTCCCAATGATGGAGCATGCTCTCGTTTTGAGAGAGTAAGCTCTGTCCTCAATAGAGCAAGCTCTCAACCTGATGGAGCAAGCTCTCAAACTAATCGGGCAAGCTCTTAAACTAATAGAGCAAGCTCTTAACTAAAAGAGCATGCTCTCGGCCTAAGGGAGCCAGCTCCCTTTTCCATGGAGCCGGCTCTTTCCTCTAAGAGCCGTAAAAGTTTAATTGGGAGCCGACTCTCAACCTGTTCTACTCCTTCTTCTTCGTCCCTTGCGTTCTCCGATCATTTTGATTATCACTGTTGAAGGTTCTAAACCTTCGTTCTATGTCCCAAACAATCCCAGACAATTAATTGAAGATATTTTGTATTAACAACACGAATCAAAACAAGTACTCTTGCAAGTATGATTGACATCAAGTCATTACACATAGAAACATATAAATTCAATTTTAATTCCAATTAAGCAAGCAAGAAAGATCCAATTAATATCTGATTAATCCTGGAATTGTCCTAAGCATATATAGAACACAAATCTAAAGGAAAGAGTAGGAGTAAAACTTGCCTCCAGGTTTCAGATTGAAACCTTAACATCCGATTCTTAGCTTTTCCAACGATACCTGGCCGCCGTCGAAGCCTTCTACTGCTCTGGTTCTAACCCCCGAACAGCCCTTAACCTTCCTCCTTAGTCTGACCTAATTCTTTGGCCAAAACCCTCTCTCTTGTCTCTCGATTTCTCTTCTCACCTCTCTGTTACTTCTCTTTCTCTAGGTATAATACAACTCCCGTAATAAACCTAGCCTCCTCCTCTACCGACTTAAATATATAAATATAGGCAATATTATTTAACCCTAATCCTATACGTAATACAAATCTACTTATAAAGATAATACAACTATATAGTAATACTACTACTACCTTGTAATATTACGTATTTACATATATATGTAACCATTTACAAATATAATATAATTATATATTTATATAAATATATATATATATATCTGAATCCTCCTTATCATTATTACTTAGAATAATAATATAATAATAACCTCCAATACCCATGGGTCATAACCCTTACCCATGTAGATCCATCCCAGTAGTCCATGTGACCAATTTATTTGGTCCATTACAACAATTCAAATCCAACTCCATTTTTAAATTAAAATTAAAATAAAACAATTAATCATTTACAACTAACAAATAATTGTCAAGAAATTTCACACAATTAAACAAACAATTCGCACATTAATAATCAATTAAAACACACAATTAAATTGCATATTTCAAATAAATAACGAATCAAATAAACTAACATAAGCAATTAAAACAAATAAACATATAACACAAAGCCACATAAACACCTAAATTATAATAAAATAAATAATTAAATCCCTTTTATATCCTTTTGAAAACTAGGAGTATTTCAGTCTTTCCCCCTAACAAAAGGAATTCCATACTTGGAATTCACGA